AACAAAAACATGCACATACGGACACACACAAACATGCACACACAAAGACCATTATATGAGGTAACTAGAATAAGCAAATTCACAGAGACAGAAAGTAGAGTGGAAATTACCAGGAACTAGAGGGAGGGAGAAATGGGGAATTAGTGTTTAATGGGTACAGAGTTTCTGTTCAGGATTATGACAATTCTGGAAAGGGATAGTGGTAATGATCCCACACAACACTGTGAATGTCCTCAATGCCATTGAACTATACACTTAAAGATGGTTAAAAGGGAAACTTCGATGTGTGTTATGTTGGTAATATAAACAATGATAATAATAAAGGCCAGTGTGGATGGCAAATAATGAGAGAGGGTGGGTGGGAATCACAGGGATCAGACAAGTAGGCAGGGGCCATCTGGAGGGGTCTTGGACGTCTTGGTATAAAATTGGGACTTCACTCTAATTGTAGTGAAAAGCCACTGGAAAGCTTTAAGCAAGGAGAGTGACATTGTCTGACTTATTTGCATTTTCAAAAGACCTCCCTGGTCTCTGGGCCAAGAACAGGTTGTATGGGGACAAGAATCAAAGTGGAGAGAGGACACTCTGAGAGGCTCCTGCAGAGGCCAGAGGAGAGATGGGGGGTATGAGCGGTGAGCAGAGGACAGTGAGAAGTAGCTGGCTTAAGAACATATTCTGGAGGTAGTTAAAATGGGAATCATCAACACAATGAATGTGGGGGATAAGGAAAAGAAATAATTAAAGGATACCCCAGGTTGGGCAGGGGGCAGGGGTATTAGAGAGTGGAGAACAGAGATATGAGGCTTAGTCTTCACATCAGGAAGTCTATGATTTTTCTGGGAAGACAAGACCAACATACAAAAAATAATTAGATGTAAGAATCAAAAGATCTTATGATACAATGGGAAAGATAGGAAGAAGCGGGCTCAGCTTGGCATAGGTCAAGAGTTCTAGCTCCAAATGGCTATTGGGCTTCCCAGTGGCCATGCTGAGCTCACAGAATAAATGAATGAATCCTCATGTTACAGTTACTCCCCCTTCTACACATGAGACAAAAGCCAGAAGTTCCTTGAGGTGCCGGCTGTATCTCACATATCCTTTGCATTCTAAGTGTTCCTTAACATAATAACTAAACTCAATGCCTATTAAATAAAGCTTGTTAAACTAAATAAAATTCAGCTGACTTGACTTGACATGCTCTGTAGGACTTTGATGGACCACAAAAGGTTGGCATGAAACAGACAGGATATTTTAAGTTAGTGAACAGAAGAGGTACAACTAAAGGCCAGTGAAGAGGCTGGCCCACTCAGAGGGGGGATCACCAAGACACGGGGGTATACCTGCTTAGCGTGGAGAGCCATGCTGCAAGCACACACCCAATCTGTCAGCTAGTCCTGTCAGCTCCATCTTCAGATTCCTTCCAGAATTTGACCCCTTCTCATCACCTCCACCACAGCTCCTTTGGTCCAAGTCACCATTATCTCTCTCACCTGGAGTACTGTGCAACAGCCTCAGCCTCACAACACATCTCCTGCTCCACCTGTGCCCCGTTATGGATTATCGTCAACACAAGAGCCAGACCAAGCTTTGCTCGCAGTGGAAGATAAGCCATCCCCTGACCTACAAGGCCCCCCTCCCCCCATTTCCTTCTATGACCTCATCTTCTACTGCCTTCCCCTCCCTCACTCCATTGCAGCCACACTGGACTCCTTACTATCCTTCCAACACACCAGACATGTCCCACATCAGGGCCTTTGTGTTCGCTCTTTGCTCTACCTCTTCCCTTAGATATCTTGCATGGCCCACTCCCTCAACTATTCCAGGTGTTTCCTAAATGTCACTTTCCCAGGGATGCTTTCCTTGGTCATCCGACTTTATAATGCATCCCCATTATAAAGGGGATGCATTCCCCATCTCTGCTCTCTGTCCCCTCCCCTGCTCTACTTTTTTCCTCACAGAAATTACCACCGTCTGACATGCTGAATATTTTACTGATAAAAACTCCTCGAGGAGGCGCCTGGGTGACGCAGTCAGTTAAATGTCAGACTCTTGATTAGGCCCCAGTGGTGATCTCCGGTGGTCACGGGATCAAGCCCCCTGTCCTGCTGCACGTTCAGGGCAGAATCTGCTTGTTCCTCTCCCTCTACTCCTCCCCCCACCCATTCTCTTTCTCTCTCTCTCAAAAAATAAATGAGTCTTAAAAAAAAACTTCACAAGGGCAGGGACTTTTTTCTTTGTTGTTCACTGCTATATAATATCCTCAGTGCTTAGAATAGACAGGCTAGATGCTCAGTAAATATTGGTTTAATTAAATGATCCATTAATTCTTGGGTTTCTGGACTACCTATAGCAAAAAAAAAAAAAAAAAAAAAGGCTAGAACCGAATCTGAGTCTGATGATTCTAGTTTACAAGAGGGCATGTGTCCAGGGTCTTATGGACTGACACGGACACCCACATTTTCTGCCTTTTCCAAAGTTAAGGAACACACAGCTACTTCTTGCCATTTCTGTAGATTATAAGCTGAATTATGTGTCCCCTCCCACCCCCACCAAATTCATATGTTGAAATTCTAACCTCCCAGTACCTTACAATGTGACTATATTTGGAGATTTGGTCTTTAAACAAGAGATTAAGTTAAAAAGAAACTGTTAGGGTGAGGTCCTACTCCAATATGATTGGTGTCCCTACAAGAAAAGGAGATTTAGACACACAGGGAGTGCCAGGCATGAGTGCACACAGAGAAAAGACCATATAAAGACATGGCAAGAAGGTGGCCATCTGCAAGGAAGAAGGAAACAAATCTGCTGACCCTTGATCTTGGACCTCCAGCTCCCAGAACTGTGAGAAATAAATTTCTATCAAGTCACCCAGTCTCTGGTGTTTTGTTATGGCAGTCTTAGCAAACCGATACACTGTAAATACCCCATAGGTTCACCAAACGCAATTCACCCTCACGGAAAGACTAAATCAGGTGGTGGTGTACCACCAGCTTCACAGGAATACCTACAGGAATCAGTGCTTCCGACACACCCATTTTTGAGCTCAGCCAGGATAGATTCTCTAAGGTAGGGAAGATAAGGACATGGCGGTGGCCATGGCCCCAAGCAGGGTTGTGCTGTAGCTGTGTACTCTGCTTGCTCCCCTCAGTCCCTACAGCAGGGGGCAGCAGGAAAGGACCACAGGATTTCTCAGCATTAGACAGAAAGGCGTAAGATCCTCCCTCAAAGATCAAAAGACAAATCAGATTATTGTTACTAAAAGATTAAAAGCTTGAATAATAATAGGAAGTGTAATATAAATAAAGGCCATGTGAAACATGGCACAGAGAAGGTGACATAATTGCGGCACCTGGCTGGCTCAGTAGGTAGAGCGTGTGACTCTCTCTTTTTTAAAAGCTTTATTTATTTGAGAAAGAGAGAGAGAGCGTATGTGTGGGAAGGGCAGGGGGAGAGAATCTTCAAGCAGACTCCCTGCTGAGCACAGAACCCAGATGTGGGGCTCGATCCCACCACCCATGAGATCATGACCTAAGCCGAAATCAAGAGTCAGACGCTCAACTGACTGAGCCACCCAGGTGCCCCAGCATGTGACTCTTGATCTTGAGATTGTAAATTCAAGCCCCATGTTGGGTATAAAGATTACTTAAACATAAAATCTTTTTTTTTTTTTAAATAGAAGGTGATATAATCAATGTGTGGTACATAAAAGCCAAAAGAAAGGAGACACTTGGCAGCAGAGTGGGCTAGGGAGGCTTCCTGGAGGGGGAGAGGTATACAGACCTTACAGGATGGAAAAATTTCAGAGATAAGTTGCAAGGGAATTCAGTTACAATCCACATATAGGAAAAAAGCCACAGGTGTAAGATTGGTCACACAGCTAAGTCTTGTTCTCATACCTGGCAATTACGCTAATTCCCTGGAAGTAACTTTATATTAGCATTTGCCAGAGTGTGTTTTTCAAGAAGTCAACACACACTCAAAAAATAAAATAAAATAAAATTGAAAATCTGGCGATTAAATAGGTTTCTTTCTTACAGAACTTCTCAGAACTCAAAGTACATTTGTAAACCTCCCCCAAGGATTAGACCATCAGTCCTTTTTCCCAATAGAATCTTAAGGAGCTAGCATTTTCGGAAGCATCAAACCTTCCTGATACCACTAATGGGTAGAAAAGACCAGTCAACCCATGATGAGCAAACCAGTGGAAAATACCAAACCACGACTGCAGTCTAGCCCTGATGCTGTGCTTTCAGACTGCAGACATCTGTAGAGAAATAGGGAGGAAAAACAAAAAACAGTGATACAGCTAGTTAATAGCATAAGGGTATGGCTGATCTCAGGTCATGAGATCAAGGCCTGCCTCAGCTCCACGCTGGGCGTGGGGCCTACTTGAGATTCTCTCTCACTCTCTCCCCCTGCCCCTCCCCCCATTAAAAAATCACTTTCATTTTACAGACAAAACAGCTGGGACACAGAGAGGCTAAGTACTTTTTGCTCGAGGTCACACAGCTAGTAACAGACAGAACCAGGCTAACATCCAATTAGGGAGATCATTCCCAGACTCCCCAAAAGTCACTGCCTCAAACACTTATAAAGAAGCTGTTATATGCCCACTGCTGTGCTGAAGGAAAAAAAAAAAATTCCAAAAGGCAGCTAGGACTACTCTACCTTCTCAAGAAGAACCAGTAAGTCTTGGGGCTGAGACAAAAGCTCAGAAGCAAAGAGTTCTGCCAAAACTGGAAAGAATCTGAAACTGGGCTCAAGGAGGAGAGAGTTGACCACAGGGAACAACAGAAACCCTCGGAGGTCAAGTACAACACAGTTTAGAGACTTGTGAGGTCTGTGAAGGATCCAGAAAATCCACAAAGGACAGCAACCAGCCATCACCTTTCCACCAGCAGCAGCAGTGGGAACACACTGTCATTTCCTGTGTCCCCTCCACAGCAGAGTGAAGTTCTTATGAAAACTTACCCTGAACCACTTGTTGCTGTTTTACTTACCACAATAGGTATACCAAACACTGGAATCAGAGGAGTTGCAGATCCAATGTGGCTCCCCAGGTTCAGTGAATATGGAAGAAAACAGAGTGGAAAAAAGCATAAATGGGAACATGATTCAGTATCTCCAAAACTTTAAAAATACAAGGAGAATCGGCAACTAATCATCAGACTCTTCCCTTTCAGTAAGCAGGAAAGATTTAACCTAGTCATTGGTCACATGATTTCTGAGTTCCTGAGTTTCCTCTTTTGAGTGCATGTGTTTAGTATTCGAGCACTTCCGGCAGGGAGAAAGAGGAAAATGATTTAGAATATATTCTTCTAGAACATGTAATGCAAATAAGAACACAGAAATTTAAAAACAAAACAAGGTACTTCCTGGTCAATAGTAACAAAACCAGTCTGTAGGTCTCCTTTAGAATCCCAACAGACTGCCACTCCTTTTCCATCCGCATTACTATTCTTTTTTTTTTTACAATTTTTTTATACAATTTTTTTTTAAAGAATTTTTTTAAACAGTTTTTTATTTGACAGAGAGAGCGAACAAGAGAGGGAACACAAGCAGGGGGAGTGGGAGAGGGAGAAGCAGGCTTCCCACTGAGCAGGGAGCCCAACACGGGGCTCGATCCCAGGACCCTGGGACCATGACCTGAGCCGAAGGCAGACGCGCAACGACTGAGCCACCCAGGTGCCCCTATACAGCAATTTTTTATACAACAATTTCTCATGGCCCAGGGAGCTGGACCTATAGGTCTGAACTGAATAGTATGATGCAAATTATTGCAGAGCAGACTCTGCAACAGGTGCAGCCACAGGGCAGAGCCAGACTAGATGAGACTGCAGACATGGGCTATTAGCTATACTTCTGCACTGTGGGCGGGGACCACACCAAGCTTGAGAATGCACCTACTTAAGCAAAGTATAGCTCCAGGGAATATTTTGAGCCCTGATAATGAAACGGTCATTATTTTGCATGTGGCATGTATTTCAAACTTCTCACTCTGTTCTAGAAAAATAGCTCATCTTTTAGATACTTTGCTACTTAAAATCCTTTGTAGGACATAGTTTGGGATTAGTAGCCAGAAATAAAAATAGCATGGAGTCAGGGCCTAAAAATCTACAAGTTTAGAGGAAAATAATCATATGTTGGTAAAAGATTCCACTAAAGAACTATGCTACTTTCCCATTTTTAGAAAGGCAAAAATCTGTGGGAGGATGGGGAAATGGAAGTTGTTAATGGGTACTGAGTTTCAGGATTGGAAGATGAGAAGTTCTAGAGATCTGTTGCACAGCAATGTAAATGTAAATATACTGAACTTGTGCTTAAAATTGGTTAAGATGGTAAATTTTATATTATATATTTTTTACCACATTTAAAAAATGAAAAAAAAAAAAGAAGAAGAAAAACCTATGAATGCCCCTAGTGGTCTCAAAAATACCATTTCCCACTAAAAGGAACAAAGACTCTGGAGAAATTGCTGATTCCAGGTCTGGGGCAGAAAATGTGTAAGATGGAGCCTGGAACATCTTAGCATATTAGATAACCAATATGAAGACAGTTCCCAGTGACCAAAGATGGGTTTCTTATTGCTGCTGTAATGACTAACCACTAACTTAGGGGCTTAAAACAATACAAATGTATTCTCTTACAGTTCTGGGGGTCAGAAGTCTGAAATCAGTTTCACTGGGCCAAAGTCAAGGTGTCAGCAGAGCTGGTTCCCTCTGGAGACTCTGGGGGAAGAACTTGTTTCCTTACTTTTTCATCTTAGAGAACTGCAACCCATGTATTCCTACATCTTCAAAGTTCAGCACTCCCCTCTCTGCTTCCATCATCACATTACCTCTTCTGACCTCCTGCCTCCTTCTTATAAGAACCCTGTGATTACACTAGAACCATTTGGATAATCCAGGATAATCTCCCCAAGATCTATCTATAAAATCCCTTTTGTCATACAATTTAACATTCACAGTTTCCAGACATGAATTTCTTGGGGGACCATTATCCAACCTACTTGTAGACTATACAAACATTAAGATAGTAACTACAATGAACTGAAATATACCAAATATATTTAAAACTATGAGCTCATGAAAAAAAAATTTTTTTAAAGATTTTATTTATTTGAGAGAGAGGGAGAGAGTGAGCACGTGGGGGGGATGCGGGGACAGAGGAAGAGGAAAGAGAGAATCTCCAGCAGATTCTGCACTGAGTGCAGAGCCCAACGCGGGGCTTGATCTCACAACGCTAAGATCAGAACCTGAGCTGAAAACCAAGTCAGATATTCAACCAACTGAGCCACCCAGGCGCCCTGAGCTCATAATATTTTAAAAGTCTAATTAATCATTAGATGATGCTAGGAAGTCAACTCTTTTGAAAACTAATAAAGGGAAAGAATCAAGCATTTATCCTGACTTTTCTATAGAAACTGAACTACCGGTAACCAGATAGTAGATGGGACAATTTTCCCTTGCCTCCTTATACTTTTATCTATTTTTAGAAGTATTCAGCTAATATATGAAAAAGGAAAAATAGAACATAACCATTTTGCAACACCTAATGAATTACTGAGCTTAAGCACCGAGCATCAGTGGTTGCTAACTTCACAGAGACAGAAAGACTTTGTGAACTTCTTGATGGATGAACCCTGTGCTAGCCAGCCTCCAAGATGGCTCCCAATGATCCTTACTTCCTAGTATTCAAATCCTTGTGTAATCTCCTCCACCGATGAATAAGGCTGATTCTGTAACTAATAAAATATTGCATAATGACAGTGTGCAACTTCCAAGGTGGATAAAATACATCCTTGTGGCTTCCATTCTGCTCTTCTGATCAGTTCCTCTAGGGGAAGCAAGCAGCCCTAAAGAGAGAACCATGTAGTGAGAAACTAGGCCTCTCACCAAAAAGCCAGCACCAGTTTGTCAGTCATGTGAGCGAGCCACCTTGGAAACAGTCCCTCCTGGCCCAGTTCAACCTTCAGATGATAGCAGCACCAGGTGATAGCTTGACTGCAATCTCATGAGAGAACCTGAGCCAGAAGCATTCACCTAAGCCACTCCTGGATACTGGACCAACAGGCACCATGCAGTATTATGTTTTAAACCTCTAATTTTTGAGACACCTGGGTGGCTCAGACAGTTAAGCAACCGACTCTAGATTTCAACTCAGGTGATGATCTCAGGGTCTAGGATCCAGCCCAGTGTCAGGCTCCCCGCTCAGTGGGAAGTCTGCTTCTCTGCCTCTCCCTCTGCCCCTCCCCCTGCTCGCTCACACACACTCTCTCTCTCAAATAAGTCTAAAAACAACAACAACAACTCTAACTTTTGGGGGCAATTTGTTAATGCAACAATAGTTAATATAAGCAACATCATCTATGAATTAGTCTTATACAAAATAATCAAATATCAATCTGATGAAGCCTCAAGTCCTACTACCAATTTATAGGAGATACAGAAGACAGAGAGACATGTTAATCTACACCTCAGGGATACAATCAGAAAATCTAGGCCACAAAAAGATGTAAAGGACAAAGAACTCCATTTCTTCAAAAGATGATTTACAAGGGAGAAAAAAACGAAGGGAAAGAAATGGAGGGGCCCATAGGAGAGTCTTAAAAGAAATTTCATAAATTGGTGTGAATAAGGCATGTACTTTACTTAGATTTTAATCCAAACATGTGGGGAGGAATTGGAATTTGAACAGACTGGATCCTTGATAACTTTGGGGAGAGGGGAGTGGTTTGGGTATTATAATGTTATTATAGTTATATTTTTTAAGTCATTATCTGGTAGAGTTACAAAACATTTAAGAAAGAGATGTTATGATGTCTGGGATTTGCTTCCAAATAAAAGTAGAGGGCAAGTGGTTGGGGTCTAAATCAAACAATATTGACAACAAATTGGTATTTGTTGAATCTGAAAGACAGTCATGTTGATTCATCGTACTCTTCTACTTTTGAATGATTGAAATTCTCTACAAAAAGGAAGCCAACAACAGAAGTACCTGAAAAAATCAGAATACAATTTTTTAAAATTGTGTCCAAGCTAAGGCTATCATTTAGAACTAATGGCCACTTTGTTACTTTTGCTTCTAAAAGCTGAAGTCTTTCAGGATAATGAAATCGAGGTTTAGAAAAGGGATTATAAAACATTTTATTATCAACGGGTGTATTACCTGATATAACCCAGATGTTAAGGCAGGATCACCCTGCCTTTGAGACTCAAAACTGACTCAACGCCCTTCCTATAGATAGTGGGAGACTCCTCACCTCCCTAACCTTTCCAAGATTTTACTCCACCTGTGGTGAACGTAGTAAAGTGGCATAGAGGGATGTGTGTAAATTTCTCCTCCTCACCTTGGCCTGAATTGTTTCTGCTGACTTATTTCAGTGATGAATCATATTCTACACATACTGTTCCTTTTCTACTTCTTGGTGTTGCTCCAGACCATGCACTTGAGAAGTCATCTTTCTTAGTATTTTAAGCTTTTTTTCTTTTCCCTAAACAACCAAGTTGTCTTCTGAACTATTCTGATACTAATAAAAACAGGTTTTTCATTCCACTACACAGGTGACATAATGGTTATATGGATACAGGACATTTAAAGAAAGATATGATACAGTCAGAACAAGTTATGAAGAAACTGACCCTTGGAAGAAAACGTTAAAATATTAACAAAGCTGTTTTTTCTTCTAGGAATGGAACTAAGAGTGATTTTTTTTCTTGCTTCTACTAATATCTGATCAACATTTGACCATGGAAAATTTTTTTATAGAAAGATAGCAACAGGTATATATCTAGGTGACGCAGAACAGAGGAACAGGCAGGCAGAGGCCCAAACTGAAGATGAGGATGACACCCACTTGTTCATCTTTCTGAGACCTAGAGCCCACCTTCTGCTAGGATCACAAGTTGGTTGATCCTAGCAGAGGGCGGGCTCTAGGTCTCAGAAAGGGGAGCACTTTTCTACCTCATGTTCTCTCCTATAAGCCTCTAGCAGCTTCAGACCTGATCTTTGTCTATGAACTCATGATGTTTCTGGTGCCTTCCCATCAACCGTCCTCACACACAGGTAAGCCATAAAGATAAGATTTACCATCATGGCAGATAATAGACATC